TTTGTAAAGAATCTAAAACATTTGAATAATTTGGGACAAATACATTAGAATTAAGAGAAGGCAACCTTTATATTTTGCAGTAAAGATTGGTATGTACATCATCTATTTAACTGTTTAGATAACTTTGAATATAACATTTATAGTATTACCAGTATATAAAAATGAAATATTCATGATATTAAAGACTTACAAAAGGAAACTTAAAATGATCCACAGACACTTACCATCTTCCCAGGGTCTTTTGAGATTTGCTGGAAAAGCCTTTTCTATCTTAAATGTCAACACATCTCCATGAACGATTCTCAGTTTTCCAGGTGCTGCATCAGAAAGCATCTAGTTTACAAAAAAGTCAAGAAAATGAGTTCAAAATGAGTTCAAACTTTTTTTTAAATTTCCTATAGAGTGTATGTGCTTGCCAGAGATGGAGACAGAGACAGAAAGAGAGAAAGTGAGAAAACACTCTCCCCAAGGGGATGGCTATACCACAATCCCTTCCCCTCCATTTGGGATTTTGTCGTGCATGCACATGTGGCCGGCATGTTTTTCAAGTCACCAAGTCCAGGACTCAAACCATGTAGTCAGCAGGGGAAGTGGAATGCAAAGCCAGTCATTTTTCAAACGTTAATCAGCTGAAGATGTGAAGACCTCTGGCGCCATGTAGTTCTATGTAGGTTTTCTCTTATCTTCCGGGGCCTTCTCTGATTAACACATCTGGCTTCCTTTAACCGATACTGCCTTGCAGTTTCGACACACAGACAGCGAGTGTAGTCATTTGTTACTGGTGTTCTTTTAGCCTTGCAAACAGCAGCCCCAAAAGCTGCATTTCTGAATGTGCTTAAAGGTCACCATTGTATTGCCCAGATTGGGCTGCTCCCTGCAAGAAAGCACTCCTGTGGGAATGGTCATGCTGCAATCTCTTCTCCTCCATCTCTCCCACCTTTCAGGATTTGCCACACCTGGAACACACACCTGGAATATTTTTCTTTCTTCTTCTTCTTTTTTTTTTTTTTAGAGATTTTTTTTTCCTGTAGGGTGCATGCACTCGTCGGAGAGAGAGAGACAGAAAGTGAGAAATCACCCCCCATGGGGGATGGCTATGCTGCAATCCCTTCTCCTTCATTCTCCTCTTGGGCACACACGCACACAAGCCTGGCATGAGTTTAAGCCACTGGATCCGGGACTCGAACTACGGTTGATTACACGGGAGTTCAGTGACATAATCATTATGCTTATTTTCTCTCCTAATATTCTTTTCTTGCCTAAGACAACTGACAGGAAGGATGAATTACAGAAACCCAGTGAGGAGACCCTGGACCAAGTCTGACTGGTCCACTGTTGATGACTCCTGCAAAGTGTTAACACTGTGTCTTGTACATGCGTTTTTTTAGCATTTAATACATTCTTATACTCCGTAAGGACAGTGTCTGTTTCTTCTTTGTGGTGTGTGGGGTTTTTTTTCATTTTTTTTTTTTTTTAAATATAAGTGAGTTTGTACATGCACAGGGGTAGGGAGGGTAGAGAGACGGGATATTTCTGACAAGTCTCCCCATGTTACAACCCTCTGGCCCCAGCCTCCCAGTGAGCGAGGATCACGGGCATGTACCAATGTGCCCACCTATGTAAGCTGGGCCAGGAACCAAGCCCAGGTCTCTCATACAGCCTCAGGTGCCCTCCCACTTACATTGCTAAGGCGTGGCCTATTTCTTATCTATTAGGTTGTCAGGAAAGTCCTAACGATTTTACTATGCAAAAATGCATCACGTGTTTCCTGACAACCAAAACCATTCAGCCCAGTGGCTACAACAGTACACAGGAGGTGTTTAAGACATATTTAAGCAAATGACCAAATGGCATTCAGCTTTTTGTGACACTAGGAACTTCTGGTCAGTAGGACGTTGGCTACCAAAATTTGTGGGGTTAAGAAACATGCAAAGATTTATTTTGTTAATAAATCAAATGGAATTAGAAAAATAATGTTTCAGAAATACACGGTTGTAATGCCACTCTGATTTAGAGGCTAAACATTTTCTAAGTTTGGGAATCACCTAGTTTGATGTGTTTCGCCATGGTAGCATGGTATTGGTATACCTATGGATTATTTTAAAATTACCATTGTGACAGTCAGTTTGGGGTGTTAATGTGACTGGACTAAAGAACACCCACAAACCTGACAAAGCATCACTTTGGGTGTGTCTGTGGGGGTGCTTCCAGGAGAGATGAACAGGCAGGCCTGAGTGGGCTGTATGTGGAAGAGTTCCTCTCAGTGTGGGTGGAGATGACCCAGTAAACAAGGGGCCCAGAGAAGATAAAGAAGATGATCAGGTCTCTTGTGAGATATAGCAAGATGGGCTTCTGTTGCCTCAGACACAGAACTGAGGCTCCTCTGCCCCTGGACTTCTGGATTTCACCAGCAGCTCCCCGTGCCCTCAGGCTTTCAGCCTTGGACTGAGTTACATCATCCGCTTCTCTGCCTCTGAGGCATGGGGCCTTGGCCTGATCCATGCTGCCAGCATGCCAGGATCTGCAGCTCACAGGTGACCCGCTGCAGGACTTTTCGCTGCCATAACTGAGCCCATCCTCCCAAAAATGCCATCTTCTGTCTCTAGACATACCCTATTGGTTCTCTCTCCCTAAGTATCTGACTAATACAACTAGGATCTGCTAAAACTTGGTAAGTTCCAGATAATAAATCTTTGAAAATACAATAACCTCAATGTTGCAGTTAAATTAAACTAAAAATCAGAAAAGAGAGCTCTCTATGGGACATGTTCTTACCGCATAAAAATGGTGTATTTAACGATAGCATTTACCATCAATGGAGAATGCTACAATTTTTTCTATAATTATGCTTCACATAATTAAGACAAAACAAATTAGTGTACCAAAGACAAAGAGGCAGAACTAAAAGCTTATGTTACATGATGGCAATATATAGAAAGTCATTAATTAAGACTAAAACAAAATGCAATTTGGCTCTTAGGAATTTATATGCTTTGATAACCATGTTTGCAATGCTAGTTTTTCCCATACTGACAGGCAAAAATGTACAACCCTAAACAGATAAAAATACAGACTGACTTTCCTTTGCTAGGTTAACAGTTACGTTTCTAACCTATTTCATTTGGATTCCCATTCAGATTTAAGTCTCAATGACAAACCAAGGCCTTTCCATTCTTTAGAAGGTCTACCTCTTTCTTGACAACGTTGTCGACTGACCTTCCCCGCTCTGAATCTCCACTGCAGAAGCGATGAATAGTGGTGTGCACAGATTTATGGAAAGGCCCTGAAGGAAGGCCTTGGGGGAAGTGCTATACAGATGAACTGATATAGAGAATAGACAATAGCCTTCTGGACACTTAATATTCAATAATCACATGCAAAGACTTTCTAACCATCTAGCATTAAAGAGAAATATTTTCACCATCAATGAAATTTGGGAGCTGGTGGAAGGGTGGGGGAAAGAGCACTACCACAGCCCTTCAATAACCCTGGAGCACGGCACTTCGAAGCCCTGGCGGTGCTATGCCATCTGGTGCTCACAGGCACTGCTGACAGGAAGGCTGGCACTTCAGTACAGTCAGGTGGCATTTCTCCAGACCCTCTCGAACTCATCTATCATTTTATTCTAGTTTGGAACTCTATATTTTTACAAAATGAGATGTAAGTCCACTTAGGTCAAAGGCATTCATCAAATAAGGCCTCAAAAGAAGACACAGAAAACCATGAGAAGAAAAAGTAGATATATAAAATCATTAGGATTCTTAGCGCTCATGATTTGCATAATGAAACACAGAATTCCCACTCGGTTAGAAGTAATTAGACCGGTGTTCCAAGAGAGGACATTGTTTCCCCAGTATTGAGTTATGTAAAGGATACATGGAATAAAATGGACAATGCCTTTAATAAGATTCAGAAAACAAATGCAGACACACTTTTTTCTATGGCCATTTAAAAAAATTCTGTCCTCTCAGTCTTAGTGAAAACTTTTCTGTAGGGCAAGTAATTGTGGTTCCCCTGGGTAGCTTTTTTTGGTGATTTAATGCAATTGAGGAAAGGACTTAGGTAATTCTTGGATTTTATGCAAAATTATAAATTTCTCGAGAGCAATGAACTATATAAGCTATACAGCCAATTCATGGGATGGCCCTGAGGTCTGGTGGTTAAGGAAACAGATGTCACGTGGCAGAATGAGTGGTTCAATCCCAGCCCCAGCAGCTTGAAAAACACACCATGGGTGTGTGCATGTGTGTCCCAAGTCCCATTAGGATAGAGAAACGGAGGAGAAAGGATTGTGGAGTGACCACGCCCCACCAAGAGGTTCTTTTTCTTTTCTATGTCTCTTTCTGGCCAGAGTGCACACACCCTCTGGCAAAAGTGAAATAAAATAGCCATTTTGTATATTTATGTGACTTTCTCAGGGTGAGGGCCTTATGGCAGCCGGCACTCGACAGTGCTAAGCATGAATGACCCTCTTCCTAAGTCACCTCCCAATAGGACCCAAACACTGTTGAAATAATATTTGTAAAAGGGTTTGGCAAAACTATTAAGCAAACCATATGAAAAGGGAAGAATCAATAATACGGAATATGATAGGTGAAAATAAAATTATATTCTTACATAAAGTACCCAGAAAGGACTGATGCTATTACTCAAAAGGAATTTAAGGGAACCAGCAGTCAGCGTAATGGGTATGTCGCTGGACTCCCACGTAGTTGACCGCGGTTCGTGTCCCGGACCCGGTGGCTTAGAACTCATGCCAGGCGCATGTGCGTGCGTGCCCAAGATCCCGAGAGGAGAATGGAGGAGAAGGGATTGCGGCGTGACCATCCCCCAAGGGGGTGATTTCTTGCTTTCTGTCTCTAATGTCTCTCTCTGTCTGTCTGGCGAGTGCACGCGCCCTATAGCGAAAATCTCTCCAAAAAAAAAAAAAAAAAGAAATTTAAAATATTTCCAAAAAGGTTTTTTTATTTTTTCTTTTTTAAAGAGATTTTTGCTATACAGCTGTGTGCTCGCCAGAAAGGGAAAGTGAGAAATCACCCCCTAGGGGATGGCCACACAGTAATCCCTTCTCTTCTCGGCATTTTGGGCAGCATGCATTCACATGCCATCGTTTTCAGACATCCGATACCAAAAAGTACAGAAAGCCTTGTAGATCCACAAATCTCAATGAGCCTCACAGACAAGAAATGAAACCTCACCAGGGCACACTGTGATGAAGCTGCTCTAAGTCAGTGACAGGAAAGCTTTGTAGTGGCCAGAGAAAACAGAGGAACAAAGACAAGAATGATGGCAGATTTCTCATCAGAAACAATGCAAGTGAGAAGACAAGGAAG